CTTCCGGGGGCGCGCGCCTCTCTCTCGCCTCTCCATCTTTGTCCGTCCTGCTTCTCTGTGTCCCCTGCAAATTTGTTTTCTGTCTTGCTCTCCGCGCTTCCCTGCTTGCCCCCTCTCTCTCTCTCTCTATCCGTCTTTTTCCTTCCCCTGCCCCTTCTCCCCGAGATCCGACGCAGCGAAGAAATGCTGCCTCGTAAAAAAAATCAAGACCGGGGCCCTAAACCCCTTCCTTTTTTCTTCGCTATGGCTCGAGCCGGATCGATCCGTGAGGGTCCTGGGGCCCGAAATAAGGCGAAACCGCCCGGCTCGAGAAAGTCGAGACGCCAGGATCTCAGGGCTGCCTCTTCCCCAGACCCCCGACGTCGTGATTTTTTCGCAACGTCGAACCCCCAGAAGTCTGGACCCCTTGACCGGTTTTTCGTCCCGAGTCGTTTCTGCCGGCCCCGAGGCTCAGGAAGGGCTCCTGGGGGCCGAAAATAGCATAAAAACTCCCGCCGTGATTACCTAACAGCGAAGACTGATAGGTTTCTAGTAGGGTCAAAAGAGAGCACCTTGACGCCCCAGGTGGGTCTGGGCGCGATCCGGGGGAGGATGCCGGGGACTTTTTTTTTCGCCAACAGTAACGCACTTCGTGGTCTTCGAGTTCCCAGAACTCCATTCCTGGGCATGATTTTGAATGCCCGGAGCCAACTGTAAGCCACTTCGTGTTCTTCGAGTTCCCAGAACTCCACTCCTGGGCATGATTTTGAATGCCCGGAGCCAACTGTAAGCCACTTCGTGTTCTTCGAGTTCCCAGAACTCCACTCCTGGGCATGATTTTGAATGCCCGGAGCCAACTGTAGGCCACTTCGTGGTCTTCGAGTTCCCAGAACTCCATTCCTGGGCATGATTTTGAATGCCCGGAGCCAACTGTAAGCCTCTTCGTGTTCTTCGAGTTCCCAGAACCCCACTCCTGGGCATGATTTTGAATGCCCGGAGCCGACTGTAGGCTATTTCGTGCTCTTCGAGTGCCCAGAACTCCATTCCTGGGCATGATTTTGAATGCCCCCAGCCAACTGTAGGCCACTTCGTGTTCTTCGAGTTCCCAGAACCCCACTCCCGGGCCACATTTTGAATGCTGAGGCAGGCTGATGCTGAGGCTGAGGCAGGCTGAGGCTGAGGCAGGCTGAGGCTGAGGCCGAGGCTGAAGGCAGACTGAGGCTGAGGCTGCAGGCTGAGGCTGAGGCTGAGGCTGAGGCTGAGGCTGAGGCTGAGGCTGAGGCAGGCTGATGCTGAGGCAGGCTGAGGCTGAGGCTGAGGCTGATGCAGGCTGAGGCTGAGGCAGGCTGAGGCTGAGGCCGAGGCTGAGGCAGACTGAGGCTGAGGCTGAAGCAGGCTGAGGCTGAGGCAGGCAGGCTGAGGCTGAGGCTGAGGCAGGCTGATGCTGAGGCAGGCTGAGGCTGAGGCTGAGGCTGATGCAGGCTGAGGCTGAGGCAGGCTGAGGCTGAGGCCGAGGCTGAAGGCAGACTGAGGCTGAGGCTGAAGCAGGCTGAGGCTGAGGCTGAGGCAGGCTGAGGCTGAGGCTGAGGCAGGCTGAGGCTGAGGCAGGCTGAGGCTGAGGCTGAGGCTGATGCAGGCTGAGGCTGAGGCAGGCTGAGGCTGAGGCCGAGGCTGAAGGCAGACTGAGGCTGAGGCTGAAGCAGGCTGAGGCTGAGGCTGAGGCAGGCTGAGGCTGAGGCTGAAGCAGGCTGATGCTGAGGCAGGCTGAGGCTGAGGCTGAGGCTGATGCAGGCTGAGGCTGAGGCAGGCTGAGGCTGAGGCCGAGGCTGAAGGCAGACTGAGGCTGAGGCTGAGGCTGAGGCTGAGGCTGAGGCAGGCTGAGGCTGAGGCTGAGGCAGGCTGAGGCTGAGGCAGGCTGAGGCTGAGGCTGAGGCTGAGGCTGAGGCTGAGGCAGGCTGAGGCTGAGGCCGAGGCTGAAGGCAGACTGAGGCTGAGGCTGCAGGCTGAGGCTGAGGCTGAGGGCTGAGGCTGAGGCTGAGGCTGAGGCAGGCTGAGGCTGAGGCCGAGGCTGAGGCTGAGGCAGGCTGAGGCTGAGGCTGAGGCTGCAGGCTGAGGCTGAGGCTGAGGCTGCAGGCTGAGGCTGAGGCTGAGGCAGGCTGAGGCTGAGGCTGCAGGCTGAAGGCAGGCTGAGGCTGAGGCTGAGGCAGGCTGAGGCTGAGGCCGAAGCAGGCTGAGGCTGAGGCTGCAGGCTGAGGCTGAGGCTGGCTGAGGCAGGCTGAGGCTGAGGCTGAGGGCTGCTGATGCTGAGGCAGGCTGAGGCTGAGGCTGAGGCTGATGCAGGCTGAGGCTGAGGCAGGCTGAGGCTGAGGCCGAGGCTGAAGGCAGACTGAGGCTGAGGCTGAAGCAGGCTGAGGCTGAGGCTGAGGCAGGCTGAGGCTGAGGCAGGCTGAGGCTGAGGCTGAGGCAGGCTGAGGCTGAGGCTGTGACTGCGACTGCCGTTGCCACTGCGACTGTCATCGCGAATGCGACTACGACTGCGAGAACAACAGAATTCTACAACTGGATTCTCATCTGAATCTTAAGGGGAATGCTTCCAGATATGCTCCTACACATCGCTGTTAGGTTGCTTTGCCAGATATTTTTTCAGAAGTCAAAACATCCACCCCCATAATAACCACCCCGACAAGCGAAGTCGTTTCGTAAAGGCGCCCCAAGAAGGAGGAATCGAACAGGGCAGGGCTGCTTAGTAAACGCCCAAACCCGTTTAGTATACGCCAGTTGCCCGTTCCGGGTGGTTTTTCCACCCCTCCTCCTCCTCCTCCTCCTCCTCCTCCTCCTCCTCCTCCTCCTCCTCCGCCCCCTCGTCCTCGTCGTCGTCCTCGTCCTCCCCTTCGTTTGCACGCCGCCTGGCTGTCCGTCCGTCAGTCTGTCTGTCTGTCTTCCCGGCTCTCTGAGCCGCGACGTTTTGAGCTTCTTAGCTCGGGGACGCGTCGGCCACCGCCGCCCTCTCCCTTGTCGGTGGCCCTGACGAGGTTGGGGGAGAGGGTGCCGAAACGCGCCCAGAGTCCAGCAAGGCATGAGGGTGCAAACCCGACTTGTCTGGCTGATGCTCTGGGAGGGCCTGTGCTCAGGGGAGGCTGCAGCACCGCTCAACGATGTGCTGTGTAACCGAACCTGCAGGGTGGGCCCTTTCCCAAATCCGTGCTTCGGTGCGGATCGTAAGCGCGCCTCGTCTACGTCGTCGTCGTCGTCGGCGTCGTCGTGGTCGTGGTGCGTGTTGCTCTGCTCGGGATTCTGTTTCCCTTATGCAGTGACCACCACCACCACCTCCCCTTCGTCGTCGTCGTCCTCGTCCTCCCCCAGCGCGAGGGGGCCTGGGTCCCCCTGCCGCCCTGGGGGAGGGGGGGCCGCGACGCCACTCGGCGAGGGGTGGGGGCGCCGGGCGGCCTCCCCGGAGGGGCGGGGGGTGCAGAGCGCCGGGGGGGCGGAGAGCGGCGGCGCAGGGAGGGGGCCCGGGGTGAGCGGGGAGGGGGGAGGGGTGGAGGAGAGGTGGAGGGAGTCGAGGGGGGAAGGGGGAGGGGGAGGAGAGCAGGGAGAGGGACGATGGGGGGGGAGGGGGGTGGAGGAGAGGGGGAGGGAGTCGAGGGGGCAAGGGGGAGGGGGAGGAGAGGAGGGAGAGGGACGATTGGGGGGGAGGGGGGGAAGAGGGAGGGAGGGGATGGCAGAGGAGGATGAGGACGGAGAAGGAGGGAGGACTGGGAGGAGGTGGGCGTAGGAGGGAGGAGGATGAGGAGGGCCAGGAAGAGCAGGAATATCGGCTGTCGATGGAAGCCGGGCGTAGTGCAAAAGCAGAGGCCCTTGTGAGCGGAGCTGCGATCAATTTCTGACGAGGCCGCGTCAAAGAAAGTGGTAGATGCCCTTTTGGGCGGTGAGGACCACACTCTCCGAGCGAGGAGGCAAAGGTAGAAGCAGAGCGCTGGCAGCTCTGCTTAGAGTCCATGCGTCTGCAAAAACTGGCCTCCTGTGCTGCCCACTGCAAGTGGCACGCACGAGGAATGGGAAGATGACCCACGAGAGAGAGAGAGAGATGAGAGAAAGAGAGAGAGAGAGAGAAATACATAAAGAAACTATATACACACATATATATATATAGAGAGAGAGAGAGATCGCGCGGTAGGCGCCTTGCCGCTTGCCGCCGAGGCGGGAGTATGACCCCGCAGGACCCCAGCTGTTGCAGCCCTTCGAAGCGGGCGGGCACGCTCGGAGCGAGCGGCGTGGGCTTCCTGGCGTGCGCCCTGGCAGCACCGCTGGCCAGGCAGCGGCTGCCGGCCGCGGGCGGGCCCGCTGGAGTGAGCCGCCTGGCCAAACCGCCGACCACAAGAGCGGGCACCGCAAGCGAGCGGGCGCGCACGGGACGGGGCCCGCGAGGCTCACGGGATGGACAAGGGACGCTGGCCCAGCGAGGGAGGCATAGTTACTAAGTGCACCATCGGGGCCCTCTACGTCGGCAGGCCTAGTCAGGGACGGCGCCGACAACGCGGTGTACGCCGAACGCGAGCGGGCGCGCTCTGAATGATCAGCCTGGCAAGCTTCCTGGCGCCAAGGCTGGACGCGCGGTATGCACCGCAAGCAAGCTGGCACACATCGCGGGCGAGAAACATCTCCGGAATTATCCGCCGCATCGCGGGTCGGGCCCCTGGGCCGCGACCAGGCGGATACGGAAAGGATGCCCCGCGCGGAACGTATCCAGGTGACCGCGTATCCGCGGGATCGCGCCTCGGAATCTGGACCGCGATTGCCGCGGATGCGGACATGTTCGCCGCTCGTGGCGGACGGGCACGCGCTGGAGGCCTTTGGGGACCGAGAAAGGCCCGAGAACTTCTCGCAGGCGTTCGCGCGCGACCCTGCGCGGGCAGCTGACGCGCCAATGTCGTCGCAATCGGCCACGTTTTCCTCCCCGTCGCTCACATGCCGCCCGGCTTCGCGAGGGGCCGCCCCCGTGGGCGCCAAGCGCTGGTGGA